GTGTTTTCTTTTTTTAAGCCACCCTGCCTTAGTGAGAAATGGCTGGTGTGGTTAAAAAAAAAAAATGCATAATTGATAAATTTCAAGACTAACTTTAATGTATAAACAGTAGGGGCTTGCAAAGGTGTAATGCATTATCTGAAAATATGACAAATATTTCAGGGCTTAGCTACTGTAGAACACACTGCATTGGTCCTCTGACTGTTGGTGCTTTAGTGAAATGTAGCTTGTAACTGTACCTCAAGCAATGTAAGTTTCAAAATTTTCTTGAGAATCAAGAGAAATCTGATGCCATTATCCATTTCACATGATCCTTCCTTACTTTTTAAAAAACTGAAATATTTCCTATTATTACTGATGGACGTGATCCTCATATATTAACACTTTCAGGGTCAGAATCCCTGATCTGAGAATTACTCTCAGGGTCGAAGAATTTTCAAGAAAAAAATTATTTTTCTTATGAAATGAGAGAGAATCTTCTTTCCGAAGGTAATGAAACCAAAAGTACAAAATTTGCTGAAAACTTAGGAATTACACTCTTGCAAATAATGGTCTCAGTGACATTTACGCATCGGTGATTTTGCCCACCTTGAGCCTATTTTCACCCAATTCAACTATTCCAGTTAACCAAACTCGTAACTATTTCGCTAGTATTCCTTTTTAACTATTCCAGTTAACCAAACTCGTAACTATTTCGCTAGTATTCCTTTTATTCTATCAACTGCATATAAGAAACTGCCCATTTACCTATTACAACTACCCAATAAAGTGATCAGAAATCAGTAATTTAGCCAATTTCATGATATTAAAAAAACTGCCAATTTAAAAATAGGGTCCAGAATAAACAATGTAGACATTCCCTGCACTAAAAAATTTCTCTCTTCATTAGTTATATCCCCAAGCCTTTCCTATACGTATTATGTTTGCTTTCCATTTTGAATTTTTATTCACACAAAAATTAGAAGACTTACTGTTATGCAAACTAATGCATTACTGTAATAACTGTATAAATTATATGCCAGCTTATTTGTGGACACATATTAGATGACCAGTTGGATGTGCACTGGATAAGTGACGTAATTTCTGTACTCTGGAATATAGGCAAAAATCGAACATTTCTGCTACTTTGAGCTCAATTTCAAGGTACTGTCAGCCCTGAAACCAATCAGAATCATCTCTATTTCTGTAATATATCTTCCAGTCTATCAAATAATACCAAGAAACCGAGAATACAACTATAAAAACCATACAAAAATACACGGCAAACTACCACTTTCAAACCAAAAACACGGTTGCAGTTTTTCCCATTATGCACTGCTTGTTGCAGGATTTATTTTTAGATGGTGCATAGATCCATTCTCTCATATCTAGGCCCTAATTTATGGCTCACAGCTTATCTGAGTGAGCTGAGCTCATGCATAGTACTATGGAACCAACCTAAGCTTCAAAGCTGTAGTATAACAGGACCCACCCTGAAAGGGTTAAATATTTAGGAACGTGGTAATAGAAAATAAATAATTTTAACACACCAGCGTGGAGGATATGTTGTGTAACTTAAATACTGTATAGCTCTAAACTGTTGTGTTCTGAGCACCTCTGCAAAAACAGTGATTATGTATGAGTGAGGTGAAAGTGTTGAATGATGATGAAAATATTTTCTCTTTGGATTTTCTTTCTTTTGAGTCCACCCGCCTCGTGGGAGATGTGGCCGACTTGTTGGAAAAAAAACATAAATAACACCAAACACAAAATACCTTTCATACCGTGGACTGCTTTGCAGAGGCAAAGCAATGTTCGCGGCCTTACACTGAACCCAACATAAAGGATCACATGGACAATGAATAATGGATCCCCACGTTAAAACCAAAAATATGTTGACAGAGTGAACAGCAAAAGGAAGGGGTTGGCCTGTACATTGCAGATCACTTTGTTTGCACAGAACTGCTTAAGCCTCAAACGATGTAGTGGAAGATTTACATAAAGGTCCGATACCAAAACCAAGTCATTGAGGTATCTACAAGCTCCCGATGCAACATCCCAGCAATCCAGGAACAGCTGTTAAAAATTGACCACTGTCTGGAAAACTTCCAGCTCCTGCACCCAACATCTTTCTCTGGGGGATTTCAATTAAGGCACACTTAAAATGAGGAATATAGCAAATAATAATGAGCAGTAATAACACCAGGATGCACTATATGAAAACACACACTCACACATCATTTTAAACTCTGCACAAAATTCAAATTTAAACCAGCAAATAATAGAGCCTACTAGACTGAGAAACACTAGACCTCATCTTCACTAACAATGATTGAATCTGTTAAGATATGTCACCATATCAAAAACAATATACTCATATCACAACAAAAAGAGGTTCAGACATGTATGCTAAAGCCCCAGACCGACATAATGAGATAGTCACGAGGAGCCTTCACCCAAATACAACATCAATAACAAAAACATAAAGTTGGACCAATTTAAACCAGTCCTAATCCGATATAATCAGGGAAGATATACTAGCAACACAGACCCAAACTTTAAGTCCACTGCTAAGAACAGATAACTTGGTGGCACTCGAAGTAATGCACAAGGCCTATTCCATCTAAAAAATGATATATGTAAAAAAGAAAGAGACAGCGCTCCCTTTACAGGCCGAACGAAAAGAATAACAGAGCGGCTAAAAGAGGTCAATAAATCTGAAATGCTAGGAGACACTGGCCAGAGGAAATAGCAAGCATCCGAACTTAAGCTAAAGGAATCTTATAGGAGGTCATGAATCGCGGAAGAACTCAAACCATAAAAAAAATCGAAAGAAACCCAAAGTATTTCTTCACCTATGCCAAATCAAAGTTGAGAACAACTCCAGTATTGGCCACTAACTTAAACTATATTGGTCCTACACAAAGATACAGCAAGGAATGATTGAGCTACACAAATCCCAATATGACTCATTTTAGCAAGCCGCTAACCGAGACAGAGTCGAAGATCAAAATGGAATTTTTTAATGAGAGAGCCAAGAATTTGTAACACAAGCCTATCCGATGTTATCCTGACGCCAAAAATGACTTCGAACAGGCGATAAATTGACATCCCATGCTCTCTGCCCCATGGCTAGACCCTCAAGGAACTCCGTGACATCAAACAACTGCAAGAAGCCTATCACAGCCTTTTCCAGCCTATGGAGAGGGAGCATGGACCACGGGGTCTCCCACGTCTAAAAAGAAACAACATAGCCCCACACCACAAAGGGGCAGTAAAGCACAGTAAAGAACTACAGACCATAGCACTAACATCCCATATCATAAAAATCTGAAAAGGGCCTAAAACAAGATCAACCACCCATCTAAAACCCATCATTTACACAACCCAGGCAACAAGGGTTTAGAACAGGTCACTCCTGTCTGTCTCAACTATAGTGATCACTACCGCAAGGTCCTAATGCACTAGAAACAAAAAAGAATGCAGATGTAATATATACAGACTTTGCAAAGCCTTTCCGACAAGTGGACCATGGCGTAATACGCACAAAATGTAGTGCAAAGGAAAACCGGAAAGTTTTTTTTTTTTTTTTTTTATTCGGACGATGATCTATAATTTCCTCACTAACAGAACACAGAGAGTTAGTCGTCAACAGAGTAAAGTCAGAGGCACTACAGGTGAAAAGCTCTGTATCCCCACAAGGCACAAGACTCCTGCCCCATCTTGGTTCCTCATCCTCATATTCCGACAAGACAAGGATGTCAGCCACAGCACCGCATCTTCCTTTGCAGATGACACCTGAATCTGCATGACAGTGTCTTCCATTGCAGACACTGCAAGGCTCCAGGCGGACATCAACCAAATCTTTCAGTGGGCTGCAGAAAACAATATGAACTTCAACGATGAGAAATTTCAATTACTCAGATATGGTAAACACGAGGAAATTAAATCTTCATCAGAGTACAAAACAAATTCTGGCCACAAAATAGAGCGAAACAAGAACGTCAAAGACCTGAGAGTGATCATGTTGGAGGATCTCACCTTCAAGGACCATAACATTGTATCAATCGCATCTGCTAGAAAAATGACAGGATGGATAATGAGAACCTTCAAAACTAGGGAGGCCAAGCCCACGATGACACTCTTCAGGTCACTTGTTCTATCTAGGCTGGAATATTGCTGCACACTAACAGCACCTTTCAAGGCAGGTGAAATTGCTGACCTAGAAAATGTACAGAGAACCTTCACGGCGCGCATAACGGAGATAAAACACCTCAATTACTGGGAGCGCTTGAGGTTCCTAAACCTGTATTCCCTGGAACGCAGGCGGGAGAGATACATGATTATATACACCTGGAAAATCCTAGAGGGACTAGTACCGAACTTGCACACGAAAATCACTCACTACAAAAGCAAAAGACTTGGCAGACAATGCAACATCCCCCCAATGAAAAGCAGGGGTGTCACTAGCACGTTAAGAGACCATACAATAAGTGTCAGGGGCCCGAGACTGTTCAACTGCCTCCCAGCATACATAAGGGGGATTACCAACAGACCCCTGGCAGTCTTCAAGCTGGCACTGGACAAGCACCTAAAGTCGGTTCCTGATCAGCCGGGCTGCGGCTCGTATGTTGGTTTGCGTGCAGCCAGCAGTAACAGCCTGGTTGATCAGGCTCTGATCCACCAGGAGGCCTGGTCACAGACCGGGCCGCGGGGGCATTGACCCCCGGAACTCTCTCCAGGTAAACTCCAGGTAAACCAGCCATCTGCCACCAAGGCAAATAACTTGAAGAAAAGGAAACACTTTCATCACCACTCATTCAATCACTATCTTGCCAGAGGCATGCTGACATCACTGTTTAGATGGCCCTGCAAACTACAATATCCCACCCCTCTTTCAAAATGCAAGCATTTTAAATAAATCAAAATTTGTAGGTAAGAGATATATTAGGTATTTACTGCATTACAGGATTGTTTTATTTTCACATACAGCCCTGTCAAAAAATCTAATTCACACTCACCAACACAAGTTTGAAGGGACAGGCTAAAATGAAATCCATCATCACACTTTATGTCACACTCATATGCTCCAGCAGTGTTTCTGCATGTCTCCTCTTCAGGGTTACACCCATGTAGTTCTTCAAGGCACTCATCCACGTCTGTTAAGAGGAAACTCAAGGCTTGGAGGTCAAGGGAAGCACAACAAAGAGAAGCCCCACTAAATAGGTAAAAGAAGCCACTTAAATGGAAAGAAATATTTCCATAAGACACAAGTCTCAACCTACAGACAATTCTTGACCCTTACTTGCTCAAGAAGTATTTAAGATAATAAATACAGAAGTTCCATACAGCTTCCAAATAATTTACAAAACTTCATTTAACCTATGACTTATATTTATGGCATTATGACTCACAAAACTAAAGTAACACAATTGCAAACAAACTACTTTCCCATTCTGTGCTTTTTTTATGGTATTAACCTTCATGCAGAGGCTTGGATTTTGTTTGATACTTCATCTAATAATAATTATCATACAAAACTTGAGCAAATAATGTTCATCTCTTCAAAATTAAGCTACAGACATGAAATTTGACATAAAAATATATACAAATTTTTCAAACTGGAATACTACTGTTCTTAGATCATTACAAATCTCAACCATTATTCACAAACAAGAACAAACAACCAATTTAACATATGTAATGCAGCACAGTACTACAAAATTATCCCAATATTACATTACACAATACATTCAATTACACATACAATCAATTACCCATACATTACTTACATTTTGCATAAGGTCCTCAGGAATGCTCTGCTTTTATTATAGAATTTAATTAATAGTAACTATGGAAAAATTAGTTAATTTAAGGAACATTTTGTCACTTCTATTATAATGTTTCTGCAGCACATACCTGAAACCAATTTGGAGATCATATCATAGATTCTTTCTCTTCAGTCACTTCATTACAAAATATACAATAATCAGAAAATTCACAGGATGCATTGCATTTCAGGCACAACTTAGTCTAGTTTTCAAGAACTACATAGTTTGGTTAATTATTTTATTTTTTAAGGGTCTTACACATGGTATTAGTAGGAAGTTACAAAAAGATACAGGATACAACATAAAAAAAAAATGTAATTGTATACTAAAATATAGTTATCTGAAGCTACAGTATTTCTGCAAACATGGATGTAAAACGCTAAGTACAATGATTATTGTATGAATAATTTTTGGTAGAAGAGCTGTGCCTGAATGAATGGAAGTGAAATATATGATACTCTCATTTTACTCTCAAGGCAATATCTGATGAGAAACTTCTTTGTTTAGTGTCTGATCAATCAGGCTCTTGCTGCCAGTGATACAATAGCTATACTGCATATTAAACACAGGTTCAGCAATACAGCCAAAACCTGAAGAAAGGATACACACTGCAGTACAAGCTTTAAGTGTGAATATGTTTCAATGTGCTGTATTTTGTCAAGTCTAATGTTTTGCTGTGTTGAGCTTCATCAAGTCTACACAGAGCAAAACATTGTCCCACTAAGAGAGTTCACCACTAAGAGAGTTCTCTCTCTCTCTCCTTCATTATTATCAACAGAATGCCATTTAAAAGCAACCAAGACTTGGTTGATAAAATACCCAATATTATTAAAGGTAAACATACCTATGCATGTCTGCTGTTGACTACTATACTTGTAACCAGCTATACAATCAGTTGGACCTCCTTTCTGCTGACATGTAAATGCTCCATTGGTGTTGATACAGAAATGGGTCGTCTGGTTGCAATTGTTGGAGCCATCCAAGCACTCATCGATATCTAATTGGTAAACATGATATTTTATTAGGCCTACTGTAGGTGTTAATGGATATGGGGATCATCAGACCTGTTGTCTGGTCACAGACCAGACTTCATGGTAGTCTATCTTTTTTCTTAGCACATGAGATACATATTTTACACTTTTAAAAGCATTAAACAGTTATAGTAACATTTATAATATGTATATATTTTTTTAGGAAGATTCTTAGTCTGACAGTGATTTTCAGATCATTAAGTTGCAGCTACAGTTAGAGTAACAGGTAGATGGGACAAAAGGAAAATGCAAACAAGAGGTAAGACAAAGGTGAAAGTGTATAAACTAAGGGAGGAATAAGTTTGGGTGAGATATAAGCAACTAATGGCAGAAAGGTGGGCTAGTGCAAGTATGAGTTGTGGGGGGGGGGGGTTGAAGAGCGTTGGAATAGTTTTAAATATACAGTATTAGAATGTGGGGAAGAAGTTTATGGCTATAGAAGGGTGGGTGCAGGAGGAAAGAGGAGTGATTGGTGGAATGAAGTAAAGGGTGTGATAAAGAGAAAAAGGTAGCTTATGAGAGGTTTTTACAAAGCAGAAGTGTTTATAAGAGGAGCAGAGTACATATATGGAAAGTAAAAGAAAGGTGAAGAGAGTGGTGAGAGTGTGTAAAAGGAGAGCAGATGATAGGGTGGGAGAGGCACTGTCAAGAAATTTTAATGAAAATAAGAAAAAATTTTGGAGTGAGATAAACAAGTTAAGAAAACCTAGGGAACGAATGGATTTCTCAGTTAAAAACAGAGTAGGGGAGCTAGTAGGGGGAGATGGAGGTATTGGGTAGATGGCAGGAATATTTGAGGAACTTTTAAACGTTGACGAAGAACAGGAGGTGGTAATTACATGCACTGGCCAGGGAGGTATACCATCTTTTAGGAGTGAAGAAGAGCAGGAAGTGAGTGTGTGGGAGGTGCATGAGGCATTATGTAGAATGAAAGGGGGTAAAGCAGCTGGAACTGACGGGATCATGAAAGAAATGTTAAAAGCAGGGGGTTGTGTAGTGTTGGAGTGGTTGGTATTTTTGTTGAATAAATGTATGAAAGAGGTGAAGGTACCTAGGGATTGGCAGAGAGCATGTATAATTCCTTTATATAAAGGGAAGGGGAACAAAAGAGACTAAAAATTATAGAGGAATAAGTTTACTGAGTATACCAGGAAAAGTGTATGGTAGAGTTATTATTGCTAGAATTAGAGGAAAGAAAGAATGTAGGATTGCGGATGAGCAAGGAGGTTTTAGAGTGGGTAGGGGATGTGTAGATCAAGTGTTTACATTGAAGCATATATGTGAACAGTATTTAGATAAAGGTAAGGAAGTTTTCATTGCATTTATGGATTTAGAAAAGGCATATGATAGAGTGGATAGGGGAGCAGTGTGGCAGATGCTGCAAGTATATGGAATAGGTGGTAAGTTACTAAATGCTGTAAAGAGATTTTATGACGATAGTGAGGCTCAGGTTAGGGTGTGTAGAAGAGAGGGAGAATACTTCCCGGTAAAAGTAGGTCTTAGACAGGGATGTGTAATGTCACCATGGTTTTTTTAATTTTATTATAGATGGGGCTGTAAAAGAAGTAAATGCTAGGGTGTTGGGGAGAGGGGTGGGATTAAATTATGGGGAACCAAATACAAAATGGGAATTGACACAGTTACTTTTTGTTGATGATACTGTGCTTATGGGAGATTCTAAAGAAAAGTTGCAAAGGTTAGTGGACGAGTTTGGGAGAGTGTGTAAAGGTAGAAAGTTGAAAGTGAACAAAGAAGAGAGTAAGGTGATGAGGGTATCAAATAATTTAGATAAATAAAAAATTGGATATCAAATTGGAGAGGTGGGGTATGGAAGAAGTGAATGTTTTCAGATATTTGGGAGTTGACGTGTCAGCAGATGGATTTATGAAGGATGATGTTAATCAGAGAATTGATGGAGGAAAAAAGGCGAGTGGTGCATTGAGGTATATGTGGAGACAAAAACATTATCTATGGAGGCAAAGAAGGGAATGTATGAAAATATAGTAGTACTAACACTCTTATATGGGTGTGAAGCTTGGGTTGTAAATGCTACAGTGAGGCGGTGAAGATGTCCTGTCTAAGGGCAATGTGTGGTGTAAATATTATGCAGAGAATTCAGAGTGTGGAAAGGTGTGGAGTTAATAAAAGCATTAGCCAGAGGGCTGAAGAGGGGTTGTTGAGAGAATGAATCAAAGTAGAATGACATGGAGAGCATGTAAATCTGTAGAGGAAGGAAGGCGGGGTAGGGGTCGTCCTCAAAAAGGTTAGAGGGAGGGGGTAAAGGAGGTTTTGTGGGTGAGGGGCTAGGACTTCCAGCAAGCATGTGTGAGAGTGTTAGATAGGAGTGAATGGAGACGAATGATATTTGGGACCTGACGAGCTGTGGAGGTGAGCAGGGGAATATTTAGTGAAGGGGGTTTCAGGGAAACGG